AACCATTGAAAGCGTATCAAGCCTTTTTGAATCCAAATGCGGCGAGAAAACTGTAGTTATCAATTGCGAAGCCAGAGGCGCGAAGATCGACTTCCAAATTTTCAATCGACCGTGAAATGAATTTATAATACCCAAATAGTCTGATCAAATTTCGCGTTTCCTTGAGATGTCTGGTTCGTTTAATCAGAAGTACAAAGTTCCTTGACAGGCAATGTGTCCGGCGCTCTCCAAATGCTTAAAACTAATTACCTTGTCTGTTATTGGAAACCGATTTGCGGTGGTTGCTGTGGAGATTAGGCCTCCTCCTGGGCGCATTAAAATCGGGGCTCTGGCCTGTTATGCTTGATTGACAGAGGCTACCCACAAACTATGATAAAAAACCTTCTATCAGATATAAAGTTCACAGAGAGGGAGTCTGCACTCCTGACCCACAACAACAAAGAGGAAAAAAAATATTGCCTTTCGTGACACAGTACCAGCCCTCAGTGTCTACTTTAAAAGAAGTTTTACTGAAAAAATGGAATCTTACACAAAACCAACCGTTACTTCGCCAAATTTTTAAAGTACCAAGAAGAAAGGAAAATCCCTAAAGGACATGCTCGTTAGAGCTAAAATATAAAAGGTTTACACAAGGTTTCACGCCGGTATAGATGTGCGGCCTGGCCCCTTGCATTTTCTCAAACTGACTAATTATCGCGCGATAATTTTTAAATTTTCTCATTTATCACGCGATAAAATGACTAATTATCGCGCGATAATTTAAACTTATCGCGCGATAAGTTGAAATTATCGCGCCATGGAAAAAATATATTGTAATGTCCCTTACGGGCCACCGTAGTTTTGTCTATCATTTTTTGAGTTACGGAATGTGACATCATTTTATTTAAATACAATACTTTGAACTCTTCAGTAAAGAGGTTTCATGGTGGCAATTACCTCTGGTCCATTAGGATCTGGAAGGTTCTAAGTTTGATTCCAAGCAAAGTGATTGTGTTTTAGCTTTTCTTTGAATAATATTTAATGCTGGGGCACAATAAGCCTGCCACCTTTCTCTAAGTCAAATGCATCAGATTTTTCCGAAAACGTCCCAGCGGCTTTTGAAGATTTCTGATGATTTTACGAAGACTTCCAAACGTTGCCGAAAATGTCCGAAGATTTTCCGCGTACCTTTGAGTATTTCCAGAGCAAAAATTAAAAGGCAGCATCTTTAACGTGCTGTGATATAGTTACAACATAAAGTCAGCTTTAAGCGTCTTTTTCGAATATTTATGGGGAAATTGAATTGAATTTTTGTTATTAATCGTGAGTTAAAGATCAACTTGTCTGGATTTGTGAGTCAGGTGTGGACAAATTTCTCTTGCTGCACGAAATCAATGTTTTTAGTCCGCAGGCGTTAGACTCATGCATAATGCGAAAGAGTTGGCAGGCGTGTGACACACTAGGTGACAATTGTATTATCTCAGGAGTTACTTGATTAGAGGAAAGCTTCGATTTGCGGATTATGGCCGAATGACGAATGCCAACAGCTCAGTGTGTATACAAGCTGGGTACGTCGTTTGTCCTTTTTCTGGAAGAGGAATACATTCTGGATTATTCCATGAATAGCTTTAATAAAAAAAAAACGGTTTTCTGTTTTTACAGTTTTTAGAATATCAGCCCACACTTGTATAATGCAAATAGTACAAAAAAAACACGTACAAATTCAAAAAGTATTATGTCATCAACTGACATTGTTGGCACAGCAACAAGATATTTTTGGTCCACGAAATTCTAATAGAAGGGTCGACCCTGTCGCCAGTAGCCTGCGTGGCAGGCGTTCGAAAGGGAAGGGGAAGGGAATTAGGGCGCGAGACCGCGCGCGAGGGAGGAGGGAGGAGGGGAACCCCTGCAAGCAAGCCCTTTTCGCCATCCCGCCTACTAATTAAATCATAACAAAAATAACGCAACTGTGAATGACTATGTGTCAAATAAGTAGTATGGCCGCGATGCACGTATTCCTAGTCGTATTTCTCGCACTGTTTTTCTTTTGTTTTCCTAATTATAAAACAAGAAATATAAAGTGAAGATACTATTATTTAAGTTCAAATGCGGTCGTCCATTGAAGGAATCTTCCTTGAAGGTGCAACGACGCGTGTCGAGTTACATAAAATCAGCACAAATCTATTCAAGTTGTTGCTGATGGAATCAGAATAAGTTAATGTAGCGGCTCTTCGAAACTTTGCCGTCACTCTGAGAATTTCTATCACGACGAATTGGATCTAGCGTTCAGACTTCGTCTCCATTCTCGACCCCAGTGCTTACGGGTTTGGGAATGCGCGCGTAAGCTCTGGGAAACTCTGCGCCGGAGTAGCCAAAATCTGGCTATTTGGGCCTCACAGCGCATGCTCTTTGATCGAACCAAAACTCATTCTCGTCCCCAGAGCCACTCGGCTTAATTTGTAACCGACCCCTTGTTTCCCGACCACGTGACCAAGAAACGACGGGCTCTGAGACGAGAATGACCGAAACTTTTTGCTTCTTTTATATCTACTTCATCGCGAAGGCCCTGTAGAATTTTCAGGTATCCAAGGCTCTTGTGGTAGCTGCTGAGAAAAATACCGTTAAACGTTCCAAATCACAGATTTGAGACTTGAAGTTTGCATATGCTTGACAGTTGATTAAATATTTCAGTGGACTACTTCACGAGGCGGTAAGTGAAACCGAATGGCTTGTTAAGATAAACGTATCGAAATTCCAAAAAAACTTTCCAAAATGTGAGTTAAGCGTCCTTTTATTTATGTTTGTTCATGAACATTAACTTCAGCGAAGCTGTTTTGAAATGCGATATCGTGGGAAAAGAAGACAACTATTCTAATCTCATTGTACACGCATCACGTTAGGGAAAGATTTACTTTACTTTACTTTTCTTCTCGAAAGTCTGTTTTGGGGCAATTTACGACAAGAAGCTCAAGTTTTCATTCATACTCGGCCATTTCGTTTGAATATGATAACGTGGAAGTCAAAGAATGATCAGTAATGTGTCATGCTTCTTAAATTATAGCTGGCAAAGATGTCGGTATATTTTTATTTTATTTTTTCACATTCAAATCTTTTTCTGGTTCAATTTCGATATGTAGCTAAGCTATTTTATTTGAAAATTGGAAAATCCAGTAATTCTCCCTAATTAGTCGTGCAAATGTTGTTTTGGAAACGCTGAAATCCAGAATCGGCCGGTCGTGTTTACTTCAACATTTCTTGGGAAAAACCCGCTAACACGCCAGACACGCCGCACGTTCAACCGCTCTCGTGCAAATTTAAATGGACCAATCAGAAACACTTTTATTGTTTTTGCTGAAACCAGTCAGAGACAATCTTGCTCCAGGGTTCCCCAGAGCTCTTGATCTTTCTCCTCTACATGCTCAGAAGAGCTCTGGGTCGAGATTGACTTCGTCTCCTGCTGATCGTGCGAGCCGTTCTTGTGGGCATGCGGGGAAAGAGAACCGGGGCATTCTCGTCCCCAACGCTACACGGCTTTCTTTCTTTCCTAAGGATGGCGGCGGGAAAAGAAAATTTAACTCAAGTGCTTCGTCCTCGCAAAATTCAGACTTAAGAGCTGAAGAAAACGGATAAAGATGAACAAAACGAACAATTTGGGGATATAGAGAATCTAAGTGCAGAGGAAATCTTAAAACGAATGAAACGATGTTATGGAGAAGAAACCGTTTAAACGTAAGAACCTTGGTCATATATTTTCGGCGGCCCAGAATGCTACAAACCTTCCCAGTTTCTTTCTTTTTTAGTTTTCTTTAACTTTTTGGCGTGTTTTTATTTAACAACAACAATCTGCGATACTTTGCATTGGCGAAGACTAGAACAATATTAAATCAACATTTCCTAGCTAATATAAAATTTCCTGGTTTATTCGATCGCCGTCCAGTTTGCCTACGTACTATACTGAACTTTTGCTAGAAAATTAAAGCTTCATGAAGTCGAGGGGTTGAGGTTAGGAGTCATGTTTCATAAGAATTAAGCCTCGTTGGTGTATAGGTATAGGTACAGGGGAAATCATTGATATGTATAAGGGTCGAGTCCATGACGTCACCCATTGTTATAACCTAGGTAAAAATGCGTTCCTCCATCTAATAACTGTCTTCCTGCATACTAATTCGGTAAAGGTTTACTAATGAGCATCTCCCTACTACAATAGGAACAATAGGCTTGCCTAGGCTTGCCCGTTAAGTAACTTGAGCCTGGTTTGAATGTGTATTAAAAGGCAAAAATAGGAATAAGAAAGTGATCACCTAGCAACGCGAGAAACGGCTTACTATATCTTATTTAGCGCTAAAACTCGGATATATGTAAACAAAACACATACACAAAATAGAACTGAAAACTCTCTATTTTAATTTTTTCTGACGTTTTCTCCTATCTATCTCGAGGAAATGAAAAACTATTGCAATCTCAGCGTTTCACGCACCGTTAGTCAGTTAATTATGCGAGTTCGCAAGCGCCAAGTTGAATACAAATTACCTCGACAGGAAAGACCTAAGGGAGCACCTTGACGTATTATTATATAAACAATTTGAAATAACTTAACAAGGATCAATTAAAACACGCGACTAATAATTGCTAGCAATAAAACCACAAGAGAGATACCGTTTTTTAAAACTTTATTAAAAACAATGACAAAAAGAGTCAAATACACAGCGATTTGTAAGGAATGGAAATTAAATAATCTTCATCTTCTTCGCCCAAGGAGTACTTGTAAGGTTTGAATTTCTTATGCCGACGTTTCCTCAGCTGTTTGGCATGAGCTTTATGATCATCCAAATAATTTACAAATTTAATCCGATGCCTTTTGCGCTTCGGGCCTTGTTGCGATGGGATTTCTACCGTGGGAGGAGGGGTCAGGAAAGCAGCATTTAAGGGTGGTGGAGGGGTGAGGCTTTCTTTGTCAGGTTTTTTGAGAGACAGCCGCTTGTGTTAATTCAGGTGTTACGTTAAAGGGGTTGAGGGGAGTGGAGAATGCTGTCGTTGCTGTCGAAGAATCTTGTGTCCTTGATGTTAAGTCTGGAACAGTGCTGATTATTTCTTCCGGTCGTGTTCTTGTATTTAATTGTTCTTTAAAAGCCAGGTATCTGTTCTGCAACTGAAAGTCTTGTTTAGCTTTTTCATCGTCCCGAAGATCGTTTCGAGAAAGCAAGTCATCCATGTTGCCTTGTATTTCTTGCACAGCTGGAAGAAGCGGGACAGGTGAAAGAGTTTGCTGCTTCAGATATTTTAGAAGCTCTTGAGGAATATTTTCTTGAAACCTTGCTTGGTTAAAGCCTTCTTCACTGGGCAGGACGTTTGTTCGCAACCGACAATTATCTTGGGTACGTAGTAGTTTTCAGATCAATCAGAGGATAACCAAAAGGTCTTTTTACAGCCTCTTCGTACTGATTTAAAAAGAAATCAGTTTGTCCGGGATACATTTGCTTGGCCAGAGTCAAGATTTGCAATTTGACTCGTGGATTCTTCAATAACACCAAATAATGACTGTTTAGGCTTATGCTGCGGCTACCTTTCCCCTGATGAAATAGATTCTGCACGATATAAATCACGCTCAGATTGCGATGATGAGAACCACGAGTAAAGAGGTTCACAATTCGCTTGTCTTTACTGGCGTCAATCACCTGATCATCAAACACGATCAAATTCCGTTTGTTGACATCAAAATAGGAATCCTGCTCCAAAGCCGTAGGAATTCCCTTGACGAATTCAATGTGTGGCATGGAGACTAACATTTGTGTATACGCAGGCTGCCATTGTGAATAACACCAAACGATCCTCTCCGGGGGAGGGTAAATGGTCTCTGAAGCTTGTTGCAATAGAGATCGAACCCAGGCCGTTTTTCCGGACCCGGTCATTCCGGCAATCATGGAGGTGAAAGGATGCTCGACGCGAAACCGCTGACATTTCTGTGAAAACCTTGGAACTGTTTGAAATGGGATGAGACCAGCATTGCGGTGTTTAGACATCACGTGCCTTTGCATACCATCTTTTCTACTTAATGATGTTTCGCAGACAGAACAGAACCAATTCATGTCAACTCCTCAGGAGTAAAATGTAGACTGAGATAGAGGTAGATGTTGCGCATTTATATAGGTTTTCAGGCCATAAAAATCTATTGTTTTCCTCCCCCAAGACCACCACCACCACCTTTCAATTGTTTTCCCTCCACCACCACCACCGCCACCACATTTCTATTGTTTTTCCTCCATCACCACCACCGCCACCACATTTCTATTGTTTTCCTCCACCACCACCACCACATTTCTATTGTTTTCCCTCCACCGCCACATTTCTATTGTTTTCTTTCCACCACCACCACCACCGCTACCACATTTCTGTTGTTTTTCCTCCACCACCACCACATTTCTATTGTTTTCCCTTCACCACCACAACCACCTCATTTCCATTGTTTTCCCTCCACGAGATTCTATAAGAGACTACCAACTGCCATTCTTAGTTCATTTTGTAGCAATGTCTCGTGTAGTCAACAACAATCGTGGTTTTCTTCAACTATTAGCTGACTGCCCTGCTTATCAGCGCCAGTTTCTTGTAAAGACAGCTACTCCACAGCAGCTACATGCACTAGTCCAAGTCTTATACAGTATAGTCATGGGACACATTCCCATCCTCGAAGAAAATAAGCGGATATTGCCGCCATATAAGGATGCCTTACTTAACCTGGCCAGTCCAAATGTCCCTTACAAAACAAAGAAGCGAGTCCTTGTACAAGAGGGTAGTGGTTTTATTGAAGATGTATTAGCCCCTGTTGTTTCAAGCTAAGGATTTCTAATGCTATAAGAGAGGTGACGCAACGGCAAGTTGATAATTTGATGCTAAGTCTGTCACGGTTACTCATCAAAATGAAGAGAAAGATAGATTTGGTTGAAGAAGAACACGAGAGTGAACATGAAGAAAGCGAAAGTTCTGTTGATGAAAGCGAGGATGAAGAACCGAGAATAAAAGAAGAACCAAGAATAAAAGATGTTTTGAGTCATCTTTCCCGTGCAGTGCCGGAAAAGCGTACTTCTGATTTGCTGCATAGTATGGCTGCGTCCAAAGATATTCTTTTCTGGACTCCCAGTGGACAATTACGTCGAAATAAACGCACTATTCCCGTCACAAACATCGCTGAGCTAGTTGAGTATGTGTTACTCCCTCATAACAATGAGGTTACCAAGCCTCGTACGCTGAATACGTTTCTAGATGGACTTGCAGAGTTAGGAATCGATTAAGGTTTAATCAAGAACAAAAAGTTGTTAAGTGAATTAATAGAAAAGGAAAACGACTACCAAAATGTAGAAAATACTTCCGATAACGAGAGTAATAATGAGGAGAGTTCATCGGATATTGAAAATCAGGAGGAGGAGGAAGTGGCTTCTGAGAATGGCGTTGAAGCTGAAGGCACCCAAGAGAGCGACAACGACTTTGAAAACGACAGTCAGGAAACAGAAAGTAGTAGCCCTGAAA